GGAGAGGAGCTCCTCTAACGGCTATCCTGGTACCACTCCTACTCCACCTCCAGCCTCTGGCCTACACGCAGAAGGAGGCACAGCGACACGACCAGCAGCTGAGTCTACTGAAACTCCTGCGAGCCAGGCAACAGGCTTCGACCCAAGCATGATGGAGAAATTGTTCTCCTTCATGTCCTTCTACGAGCAGCACCAGCAAGCAGCACCTGCGAAATCAAACAACAGCGACAACAACAATGGCGTTACTCCAATGAGCCTTGACAGTTCATCCTATGCGCGCAAAAACCAGCAGCAACCCACCGTTGCTCCGTACGAGCCTCAACGCAGCTCCATAAGCTTCATGCCACACCAACAGCCCTCTCCTGGACAAGAAAAGACACTGGACGTGCTTCAAGTTCAATCGCAGTTCGCGCACGTCTTGAAACTGCAGACATCGACGCCTTTCGACGGCAAAGACTTTTATACCTGGTCGTTTGAGTTCGAGCTGATGATAGAAGGCGCGCAAATCCTTGGATTCTTCGACGGTTCCCTGCCATACCCAACGCACGGAACACAGAACGACAAGCAGCAGTACACGTATCAGTCGCTAATGGCATACACAATCCTGCTACGGAACATAACGATGAACGAGCAGCAGAACATCCGGTCTTATCGTGGATATGGCAACTCCGCGGAGCTCCCGTACAACCACCTGAAGAACCTATATCAAGCAACAAACAGTGTTAATAAAAGCTGTCTCATGGTACAGCTGACAACAGTGGTTATGAAACCCGGCAAAAAATGTATGGCGTATATCAGCCGTTGTCGTGGACTGCACGATAGACTCCTTCGATGCGGAGGATCGATATTTGAAGAAGCCTTCGTGACAGCTATCATCACTGGCCTCGGTCCTCATTGGCGCTCCACTCGAGCCATTCTTTGCGCTCAAAGAAAGATCTTCGAAGCGACACTCTGCGCCGAAATTCACGCTGAACAGCAGGACATGGACCTACACGAAGAATGACACAAGAAAAGAGCGTCAGCACCTGAGTTCGCGTTTCACACCCAACGGCGCTACAACAACAATCGACATAACAAACATCAAGCTCAACAGTACGTACCGCCATTCTGCCATCTCTGCAAGACGTCGGGACACCCTCAAACTCACAGCCCGAATCAACAACAGTCAACACCGCTGCAACGTCAACTTCGACCTTCAAGTAGTCAAGTGGCTTCGACACAGGCACATCCAACTACTCAAGTAAAGTCTTCAACGACATCGACAACACAACCTGCACAAGGTTTAAGAAACATCGTGAGCTGCATGGCAAGAATAGCGGACTCCTGCATCACTGAATCGCCACCACACTACTCACCAGAAGAGCTGCTCGATGAAAGCACTCCCCGCCGCGAATCACTGGAGCCCCAACCCGACGTACGCAACCATCGCCCAGAGCGAGCCGTCCGGGAAAGACACCTGGTTCTTGGACAGCTGCTGCGGACAGCACATGTGCTCATCGGGTCGCTTCGTTCAACGGGAACATCAACTTCAGCGCGAAGTCGTAATCACCGTCGCCAACAACCAGAACCTGCGCACAAGACGACACGGGATAGTTCAACTTCAGTCTCGAGAAACCAACGTTATTCTGCAGATGTGAAAGGTTTCAATCGCAGAAGGACTCGGCTATAACTTACTCAGCCTCAGTCTACTAATGGCGAAGGGAATTCATCTCGAAGTAGACAACACCACTCAGGAGTTCAAGCTGTACCACGGGAGGGGTGGACTCTACATCGGCAAAGCAGACTTGAAGAACAATGTCTTCGTCCTTGACTTCGTTCCAGACCAAGGCACCACCGACAGCGACGCCATCGTTAATTTCACCTCTTGGACACACCCGCCAGATATCGACCCCGACTTCAGTCATGGAGGCTTCTGGTACTCGCACACTGTACAAGAAGCAAAACAATCGAGAGCGGTAGTAACAATCCAACAAACCTCGGCAGTAAGAGAGACAACATCGGCAGCAGCAAAAACAACACCGGCAGCAGCAGACACACCGGTTCAACAAGGTCATGTCTTGCTTCGTAATATACTTCGTTGTTTCTCCTCTTCTCAAAGCAAGACGAAGACATGTCATACTTCGTAACATGTCACTGCGCAATTATCTCATTTCGACCGAAGAGGGACGAGGGAATAGCCCCCAACTATGGCTACTTCAGATTCACTCTAGACAAGATCGTTGTCCCTAGGCCGTTAGAAGGACACCACGACCTGTCGACTTGGACAGAATCGATCAAGCCGCTGCTTGAGATCGCTCAGCTAAAGCGATTCATAGATGGCACCACTCCCATTCCACCAGCGCGTGCACTTGCGCATCTCTCTCAGTTCCGCGCGATGCAGTTACTGACATTCACCACCATTTCTCGATGCTACTCCCCAACCGTACAGATCGCCCTTAAGGCGTGTCGCATGAAGGTAGATGCCGGCTATCAGGCATGGCAGTTTATTATGCGCACGTACATGGCGAAGGACGATCTGTACATCGGCCGGTTAGAGCAGGCGCTCACTAACCTCGAGATGGGAGAGCACGAGTCCCCTACGTCCTATTGCAACCGTGCGCAGCATGAGAAAATGAACGAGAATGAATTGACTAAGGGAAAGTTGGGTACAAGTACAAACCCTAGAAAGTCGTACCCCATATGTGCTACCCCACTATAGCCTACAACAGCTATGTCATATATATCTAACACACCCCCATAGGCAAATTGGGGGAGAACAAGGGGTCACAAGACGAGTCAAGCAAAGCAAAGCAAGCTCAGGGTGGATCACAAAGTCACCACACATTCCGAGCACAAGTTCAAGGCCACAAGGCCAAATCACATGCACGATTACACATATATATATATGGCTAGACAAGCAAGAGCAGGAGTATATATATATGTAACAGTACAAACAAGGTCAAGTGGTGAGCAAGTGAGGCAAGGCAGGCACAAGACCCAGCTGAGTACAGAAGCGCTGATGATTACAAGGCGCAAGCGCCTTGATGAACATATCACCAGTGTTCGCCTCAGAGGCCACGTACGCAAGGCGCAGCTGACCACGCTGCTGTAGCTCACGAGCAAGGAAGTAGCGAAGAGCAATGTGCTTCATTGTGTGCTCAAGTCTCTGCTCTCGACACAAGGCCAGCATGGCCTTGTTGTCTACGTACAGCACTGGAGGAGAATAAGGCGGCTCTACGAGGTCAGTCAGCAGGTAGGTGAGCTAGCAAAGCTCCTGTGCAGCCATGGCTACTGCGTAGATCTCAGCCTCACAGCTGGAGCCGAGAACAGAAGACGAGCGGGTAAACCGCCACGAAACAGAGCCGGAACCAAGGCTGAAGGTGTAGCCGTGTGACGACCGCTGCGTAGCCTGGTCGTCAGCCCAAGAAGCGTCCGCGTGCCTAGTGAGGACCACTGGACTCTGCCCTCCAAGCACAAGCCCAATGCTCGACGTACTACACAAGTAGTGCAACACCCTCTTCGCAGCAGCCATGTGCTCTGGTCTGTGTCCCCCAGGAGCAACATAGCGTGCCAAGATGCTAAGAGGGTATGCAAGGTCAGGTCGTGTGCAGGTCATAAGGTACATGAGGCAGCCAACAAGCTCTGGGTACGAGCCACTCGGCTCTACGGACTCATGCGAAGGCAGAGCTGAGAGCGAGTGGCGAGTAGGCAGAGGAGTGGCCTGAGGCGAGGAGTACGTGAGGCCGAAGCGCTGAAGGACCTGCTGCACCATGTGTGACTGAGTCAAGGTAATGGTGCGGCGTGCTCTGTCCCGGGTGATCTGCAGGCCAAGATAGCTGCGCAGTTCACCCAGGTCTGTGCACGTGTGTCTCTTCTGCAGCTCGGACTTCACGTGGGCAAGTCCAGTTGTGTCAGCAGTGGCAAAGACCAAGTCGTCGACGTACACGAGGATGTAGAACGGCAGCAAAGAAGTGTCGGTGCGCAGAAATAGCGACGGGTCGGCAGTAGAGGGAGCAAACCCAAGAGCCGCCAGTGTAGTCCTCGGTGTGTCGTGCCACTCACGCGGTGCCTGGCGGAGACCGTAGACTTGCTGCTGGAGGGTCCACTGGGTGCTAGGAGGAAAAGACCCAGTGAAGCTAGGTGGGCGACGCAGCCAGATCTCCTCGTGCAGGCTGCCCTGCAAGAAAGCAGTGCTGAAGTCAAGAGAGTGCAGCTCGTAGTCACGGTGAGCAGCTATGTGCAGCACTGGTAAAGACGAGACAGGGTGCCAGATGGGACCGCCGGACACGGGAGGACAGTGGAGAAGTGAGCAAGGACAGGACCCCCTGAGGGGTCTGCCAGAGAGACTGCAATTGGCCGACGAAGCGGCGTGAGTGTGGTGCGGTCTGGAAAGAAGGAGCGAGAAGCCCCCGAGTCAAGGGTGAAGGTGTGGGAGGCCTAAGCCGGCGTGGTACGAGAGAGGGCAGACTCACCAGCACCTAAGGAAGCAGACGCACAGGCACCTAGAGCAACAGCCTTGCTAGCACCTAGAGCAGCAGTCTCAATGCCCGGGTCGGGCGGAAAACACCGGTAACAGTCACCTTCATCACTAATAGTCACAGCATACATGGCAGCAAGAATAGCATCAAAGTCAAGGTCAAAGATAGCTACTCCCGCCCTAGACAGCTCGCCCCAGCGAGGGATCTCAGTGGCCTCAAGGAACTGGTGACGCCAAGCGTCCGTAAGGCTGCCAAAGTAGCGCTGGGTGGAGTGCGCACCCTTGCACTGCTCACCCGCGCGGACGCCGGTGCGTAGGACGTAAGTGCACGGACCAGTACCCCCACCCGGCTGGCGTGGAGCGTACCACTCACGGAGCTGCTAAGGGGGGGGGGGAGGTCACGAGTGCGCTGCTGCTGCTGGCGCTGACCACCACCGAGGCCGACCCTCTGCGTAGCGCCACCCTGACCAGCTCCTCCTCCTCTGGCGCCGCCTCCTCCTCCGCCGCCACCTCCGCCACCTCCGCCCCCACCGCCACCGCCGCCTCAGCCTCCGCCTCCACTGCCGCCACCGGCACCTCCACCCCCGCCACCACTCCCACCTCCACCCCCACCCCCTCCCCTTCCGCCACCGCCACCTCCGCCACCCCTGCCAGCCCTTCCTGCGCCCTTGCCCTCTTTGCCCTTGCCGGTGCGGCGTCTCCCGCTCGGGGCAGACGCAGCGCCGATCGACTTGAAACCAATGAGGTCGGCCGCAGCAGCAGAGGCAACAGAGGGCAAAAGGGGGGAGGGGGAACACCCCTCAAAGACGGGGGTGCGAGGGTCACCACGAGAGGCTCCTACAGCGACAATGCTCTTCTCTGCCGCTAGGAGGGCCTTCTTGAGGAGGTCAACGGTGAGAGTGGTGGGGCAAACTGAGAGGAAGTGGTCCCTAACTACGCGGAGAGAGTCAGGGAGCCGGGTGACTATGTAGTAGAGGGTGATGTACATGGCGGGGGGGGTTCTTGGTGGAGAACTCAGCAGGAAGCGCAGCGCGGTAGCGAGTGTCACTACTGCGGAGGTGCGTAATGAGGTCAGTGACTGTGGGAAAGGCAGCAAGGTCAGGGAAGAGGTACGGTAGTATGAGGCGGCTCAGTGCAGCAGTGGCAGGGGAGGAGTAGCGTGCAACTACAGCGTCGTACAAGGTCTGAGCACTCTTGTACAGGCTAAAGTGTGCACGCTCAGAGGTAGGCAGGTGGCGACGCACAGCAAGACGTGCAGCAGCATTGCGTGTGGCCCACTGTGAGCAAATAGTGGCTTTAGCATCCGCTGCTGGGGGAGGAGAGGCACCAGAAGTGAGGTCAAAGAGGGAGAGACCGTCCGCCCTATCGCACTGTAAGAAAAGCTGTAGGTCATCTACCCAGACGTCAAAGTCAATGGCCCAACCCTCTGCGTCAAAAGAGAGGACACTAGGGGTAGCCATGACAGCAGTAGGCTAGCAGCGCGAACAGTAGGGTGAGGGCAGTGCAGTGATAGAGGCGCTGCTCTTACCGGACAGGGCGGCTCAAGCGGCTCGGCGGCTCGGCGGTACGGCGGCTCGGCGGCTCGGTGGTACGGCGGCTAGGCGGCTTGGCAGCTCGGCGGTACGGCGGCTTGGCAGCACGGCGACCCGGCGGCTCGAGCGGCTTAGGTGGCGCGGCAACTCGGGCGGCTCGAGTGGCTCGGGCGGCTCGGAAGTAGCTCCGGGGCGCCGGCGGCTCGGTGGTGACGGCAGGATCGCGTGGGGACGGCGGCGAGGCCAGTGGAGGCGGTGCCAGGGCTGGGAAGGGTAGCGCCGGGGCCGCAGGGTAGGCGACGGGGCCGCAAGGTAGGTGCCGGGGCCGCAGGGTAGGCGACGGGGCCGCAGGGTAGGCGACGGGGCCGCAGGGTAGGCGCCGGGGCCGCAGGGTAGGCAACGGGGCCAGCAGAGGCGGTGCCGGGGCCAGGAAGGGCGGCGCCGGGGCCCCAGGGTAGGCGACGGGGCCAGCAGAGGTGGCGGCGGGGCCAGGAAGGGCGGCGCCAGGGCCGGGAAGGGCGGCGCCGGGGCCGCAGGGATAGGCGACGGGGCCGCTATGGCAGCAAGGAGGGGGGGGGCGCGAGGGCGGCGCGACACGACGGAGCCGCAAGGGCGGCGGATTGGGGCCGCAAGGGCGGCGCGACGCTGCTGCTAGGGCAGCGCGACGTGACAGGGCTGCGAGGGCGACGCGACGGGGTCAAAGGAGGGGAGCGCGACTCGGGCAGAGTAGAGCGCGCTCCGGGCAGGAAAAAAAAGGTGGTGGGCCCTAGGAACAGTTCCCACAGGGCAACCTGCTTTATACCATGAGAAAATGAACGAGAATGAATTGACTAAGGGAAAGTTGGGTACAAGTACAAACCCCAGAAAGTCGTACCCTATATGTGCTACCCCACTATAGCCTACAACACCTATGTCATATAAATCTGACACAGCAGATCCTAGTGAACCTGAGGATGGCCGGCGTAGATTACTCGCACGCGTCGTACATTACTCACGTTGTGAAGGGGTTGCCGCAACAGTACAACCTCTTGCGCAGGATGCTGAAGTTGCCGCAGGTGCGCAAGGAGTTGGACGAGGATACCCTCACTAGCAACATCATTGAAGAGGAGTGTAGGCTGGCGGCGGTGGGACGAAATGACCAATTCCTTCCCCAGGCTAACCAGGTCTTTACCAAGAAGGGTAAGCCCTAATTCCAGCGGACTTCATTTCCTTCCCCTCCCACTAGAGGGAGCAAACCCAAGGGTTGCTAAGGGCATGTTGCTAAGTACTGTCAGAAGCGGGCGGATAAGGAGGCAGACACTGGGGGAGAGGGTTGTGGAGGTAGCAGCAGCAAGGGGGGTGATGGCTCTAAGGGGAGCGGGCACTCATCATGTGCGATGGTGAAGCCCGTTGTAGAGCAGACTCCTCTTGTTGTACTGGAGCCTGAGGCCGGGGAGGGCTTACAGGCTATTGCAGCTGCTTTGAAGGCGAACCTGAGCGTCGTTCTGCTTGATAGCGAATGCTCCCACCATCTCATGAGAGATCCTTCTGCCTTTGTGGAGATGAGCAGCGGCAGCAGTATTAAACAGGTTACCTGCTTAAACGGCGCTCTTCAGGAGGTGCAGGGGCGGGGCACAATCGCTCTTCTTGGAAAGGGGGGCAGGTGTGTCTTGGTGCCAGACGTGCTGTACGTACCAGGAGTGCAGGCGAGTCTTCTCTCTGCTGGGCAGCTGCGTGATAGTGGTGTGCAGCTGCTGGATGCCGGGGATGTGACTTTGCTGCGGGCACCAGATGGATCGCTCCTTGGTCGTGCGGAGTTCAAGGGGTGTGTTCTTTGCACGAACTTCCAGCCGTGTTCGACGCATCGGCAGAAAGGCAAAACGGTTGCACTTCGTACCTTGGCGATGGACATGCGGTCTAAGGGGGACCTGTGGCATGCACGTATGGCACACGTTGGTATTGATGCCATCGAGCGCACAGCGGCTCACGGGTCAATGAAGGGCTTGGATTTGGAGAAGGGGGGCAAGTCAGGCATACCTTGTGTCTCCTGTGTTGGGGGAAAGATCACTCGTCATACCTTTTCTTCTGTGGGAGAGGAGGAGGATGAGTTGCTCGGGGTGGTGCATGCTCACATGTGTGGCCCTTTTTGTGAAGCAGCTAAGGATGGCAGCCGCTACTTCTTGGTGCTGAAAGATCGCAAGACGTGGTTCGTCTGGGCCTACCCTTTGGCCAAGAAGAGCGATGCATTGGCGGCGTTCCATAAGTGGCTCCCGATGGTAGAGAGGCAGAGCAAGACCACGGTGAAGGCGTTGCGCACTGATCGGGGTAGCGAGTTCCTGGGCCACGACTTCACGCTCTTCCTCGCTGAGAAAGAGATCATCCACGACCTCACGTGCCCGTATACGCCGGAGCAAAACAGAATGGCCGAGAGGGAGATGCGCACCATTGTGGAGGTGGTGTGGACGATGTTGCTGCATATGGGAGTCCAGCATCACTGGTGGCACCTGGCGTTGGCAAAGGCCGTCTGGGTGCGCAACCGCGTGGAGCATGCCTCGCTGCCCTCTGGTGTGACGCCGTACGAGCTCGCCTTTCGACGCAAACCCGATGTCAGTATGGTGCGTGTCTGGGGCTGCATGCTGCAGTACATGGTGCCGCAGTCGCAACGTGGGGGGAAGCTGGCGCCCAAGGCTCGCTGGGGGTTGCCTACACCTGCAGATAGGGGAGGAGCAGATTGGGGACCAGCAGATGGTGGACCAGCAGCCAGGGGAGCAGCAGACAGGGGAGCCGCACACGGGGGAGCAGGAGATGTGGGAAATTAGAGATGGTGGTCGTGTGTTGGTTTCTGGGACGACCACTGCACCACTGCGTTGCTCCACTCGCATCACTCGTGGTGTCCCGCCTGTTCGATACGCTTGGGTTATAGTGGTTGAGCCAGCGGGCTTGGATGACGAGGAGGACAAGGAGTGGACTGACCTCGACCCGGACGTGACATCTGACCCTGAGAGGCAGTGGGACATAGCGAAAATGACAGTGAAGGAGGCCTTGGGCTGCTGGAAGGGAGACAAGGTGAAGGAGGCGATGGATGAGGAGATGCGGAGCTTGATTGAGCAGGGGACGTGGGAGTTGGTTCCGCGTCCGCCAGGGGTGAATGTGATGAAGAACCGCTGGATTTTGAACACCAAGTTCCGACCTGATGGGATAGTGGAGCGTGAGAAGGCGAGGCTAGTGGTGAAGGGGTTCACGCAGGTAGCAGGGGTGGACTATGAGGAGACGTACGCCCCTGTGGGAAGCTATGTGACGGCGCGTGTACTTCTGGCGATTGCAGCTGCACTTGATTTGGACCGGATGCAGCTGGATGTGAAGAACGCGTTCTTCCATGGCATGCTAGAGCGAGACCTTTACATGGAGCAGCCGAGCTACTACGAGGTGTACGGGAGGTACAGACGACTTGCAGCGGTGGGCGACGCCGACTTGGGCGAGCTGGTCAACGGGGTTGGTCGACTTGTACGGGGCCACTGCAATGCCGCCGACTTGGGAAGCCGGTGGCCGACTACAACTGGTGGTAGGCGATGTGGCACGTCGACCTGGAAGTCGGCGCCGACTTGCAAGGTCGCCGACTTGGGAGGTCGCCAGCTTCAAGAGGTCGGCCCGGAATTCGGCGCCGACATAGAAGGGGCGTCGACTTGGTGACGTCGACTTAGGGTAGCCGACTTGGGTGGTTGGCTGACGACTGCGCTGGTCGACGTGGAGCTGGTCGACCAAGAGTGACGTCGACCTGGAGCTGGTCGACTAGGGGTGTGGTCGAACTGGTGAGGTTGAGTGGAGGTGGCCGTCGACTTGGGAGGTCGACGGGCACATACAGGAGCACCTGGTCGACGTGGTTGCCCGGTCGACCAGGTTACCTGGGTGATGAGGTTCTACAAAAGAGTGCGACGGTCGCCCAGGCGATGTTGGCGAGACTGACCTCGGTGGTGGTATCTCGAGGTCAACGTGGCGGATCGGTGGAGACGTCAGCACAAGGATTACTTGGTGTGTGTGTTGTGCAGGTGACGAGGCTCAGCACGCCAATCATCTGCGAGCACCTGCGAAGCTGGTGCGCTGCTGTTATGCGGGAGCAACGCTGGCACGCCGTCGACCTGTAGCGTTGGCACGCTGTCGACTTTGCACTGCTGGAACGCGGTCGACCAAGTCGTGCTGGAACGCGGCCGACCATGCTGCGCTGGCAGTCGACTGACCTGAATGCTAGCTCTGATGTAGTCTTGTCTTGCCAAGCTGATTGTACCATTGTTTTCAACCTTCTCTAGTGAAACTCTTGCCAAATTGCCCCATGAACTAGCAAGCAGTGTGAGCACTAGGAAAACGACTAAGGACCAACGAACGCAGAGATCACACGAGCACCCGTGCCTAGCCCGTAGTCTAGCTCCCGTTGTAGTAGTTATCTCCGTAGTGCTGAGCCTGGGGTTGCTGAGCCTAGGGGTGCGGAGCCTGGGGGTGCTGAGCCTGGGGGAGCTGAGCCAGAGCGTGCTGAGCTTGGAGGTACTTTGTCTGCTCGAGGTCCTAAGGGTGTCTCGTCACGACGGGAGCCTCTCTCTCCACTGCGGCTACGCGAGTGGTTTGCCCAGCGCTGGAGCCTCCGGAGTAGCGCTGCTAGAGCTGGGGGTGCTACTGGAGCTGGAGCTGCAGGAGGTGCTGCAGCCGGTGGTCCGAGAGGTGCTTGTACAGGAGATTCTAGAGCTGCTGGAGCTAGAGGTGCAGCAGGAGCTGAAGCTGTTGGAGGTGCTGGAGCCGCTGGTCTCGGAGGTGCTCATATTGGAGGTACTGGAGCTGCTGGAGCTGGGATCCTGGACCGGCTGGAGTCGGTGGTGCTATAGGCGTTGGAGCTGGAGACCCTGTAGCTGGAGGTGCTGGCCCAGGAGTGCTGGTGTTGTCGGTGCTGGTTCTGGAGGCAC